TCCAATATACTGTCTTGTGGGGATCATTGTTGCAATGGGTCCTCTGGTGTCCTTGTTTCAATATTTTGTTATTCCCCTTACCCTCCCCAAAGTAGAGAAATGTATATACAAGATTCAGGGTACCAAAATCAAATGCAGTGACAACAGGGGAAGAACATAGAAAGGAAACCAAAAATTCACATAGTACTTTAAAATTACAACAAAGAAACATCACTTTTGCCCATATCTTGGGGTTCATTTCACTTAACACCATCTTATATGGTCATATGTAAATAGCTTGAGAGGTTTTCTGCTCACCTGATAAAATTATCCTAGCTATATAGTAATTATTGCAAGTGAGGGAAACCATGAGATGTCTTTTTCTTTGGATCTCACTTACTCCACTTAATATGATTTTTCCAAGTCTTTCCATTTCCTAACTAATGGGGTTGTGCCATTCTTATTGATGGAAGAATAAAATTCCATTTTATATATATATATATATATGATTACATATATATGTGTGTTTATATATATGTATGTATACATATACATAAATATATATGTATATATATACCACATTTTCTTAATCCACTCATCTACTGAGGGGCACCTGGGTTGGTTCCATATCTCAGCTTTGGTGACTAATGCTGCAATAAACATATTTGTACTGGTAGCTTTTACTATGGCCTTGTTTGTGATCATTTGGGTAAATGCCCAGAAGTGGGTCCTCATATATTACCCTGCCCCAGAATGGCCTGGCCTTTTCCAGTATTTTCTGACTCAGTCTTTGTACTGATTCACTGAAGGGGCAACTGAGACTCAGAAGGTAAGAGACTTCACAAGGAAGTGGTTAGACTTTCCTTGTCTATAACAAATGACTGAGAGAAACTGTTTCAAGGAGCAAAGGTGTGTTTTGGCTGGCTTCCGGCCTCTTCAGTCCAGGCTCGGTTGTGATAGGCTTGTGGTGAGTCAGACATCATAGCATCAGGAGTGAGCAATGGCAGAGGCTGCTTTCCTCATGCAGCCAAAGCAGGCTGCCAGTGCAGGGAGGGTGGGCAGGCATGCCCCTAGTGACCTATTGTACTAGGACGGAACTGCTTCTAAGGTTTCAGTACCTCCCCAGCTAGGTCCACAAGCAAAGGACCAAGTCTGCATTTCCTATTCAATCACAAACTGATAGAAGCTCTGCAATTCACCTCAGTTGCCTTTCTTCAGCCCTCACGCTGTGTGCATTCTCCCCAGCCATGCTGGAAGCACACAGAAACAAGTACAGACCCCCAGTGGTACTGTCTGCACCTTGTCACAGTCCTCACATGCCATAGGGAAGATGTGTTGCCTGCACTTACTCCCAAACCCTAGTCCCTCCTCATTCAGTGGCTGTGTTTAAATTTTGTAAAAGTGTGCATTCAGAGTTTGTTCAAGACAAACTCATGTGAATATCCAGTATAGAAGTAGTGACAAAAACACCTGTATCTAGGTCCTCAGGATGCTGTGGAAGGACGATCTCAGGCCTGTGCTCTGCCTGGTTCTTCAGGACTTGCTCGAAAATGGCCACCTCAGCCATGCCTACAGACAGGTGCTGACATGGTGACACAGGTGTGGATGTGGTTGGACAGCTTCCTGCAAAGAGAAGAATGACCTGTCAGTGCCTTGGTTGGGGAATATTTGCATCTGTAAATATTCCTGAGTGATGCCAAAGAGGAGCCCCTTCAGTGAGCCCAGGCCTGGCTCTGTGGGACTGGATGGCATCAGTTGCCGTACACACTCAGATCATGAATGGACCAGATCCTTCCTTTAGGACAGAATTTACCTAGGAAAATGTTCTCACTATTGCACAGGCACACATCACAGCTCTTCCCTACTATCCGGAGAGAAGCAACCCACAGAAAGGGGTCACAATTTGGAGAATTGACGTTTTTCCTACTTGGATTGTAGGTTTTCAGGAGCTCTCATGTGAGTTTCAGTGGGAAACAGAATGGAAACAAAGGGGTCTGCTTTGGACCCAAGAGTTGGTATTTTCTGGCATGATTGGGTTGAGAGAGTCATGAGAATGTGAGGAGAAGAACACTAAGAATTCTTCCTCACCAACTGTTCACACTGCGATGAAGTTTGCACCAATTGCGGGTGGTACTTGGATTGCCTGTCTTCCCTGTGTGAACCCCCTGGAAGGATCAGTAAAATGCCAGGTAAAAAGTCCTGACCAGCCTGGTACTGGTGGCTTTGCTTCCTTCTGAAATTCTCACTATCCAGGTGGTTGAGCTCTCAAGACTCCATTTGAACCCTGTGCCTGCAGGAAAGTCCTGGAGACTGTTATTTCCAAATCAACACCAAAAGAGCCATATGTGGAGCTGTGGCTGAAGTGGTAGAGCACTAACCTAGCCTTCAGCACATAGGCTCAGAGACAGTGCCCAGAACCATCACAAAAGAAAAGGCCTGCACGACAAACTTGTTTCCACAAAAGTTATTGAGTTGATTCTGCTATCCTGTGGGCAAATAAGTCAAGAGCAGATTGCAGTGAAGTTGTAATCACAGTCCATGATGACCTGCAGAGTGATGGATATCTGGATGTCACTGAGTCACCACATTGATTCACAGCTGCAAGGAATCTGGGTGCACAGTAAGGCCAGGTCTGCCTGCTCCCCACCATATGCTGTCTAAAATGAGGCTTCTCTTGTCTTTTTGCAATCTCCTAACCTGGCTTGAGGAGAAAGGGCCTGGCTTCCAAGGAGCAGATATTTAAGCTTCCACTTCAAATCTGGATCCCTAATGTACCAAACAGAGGTGTCACCGAGGTCATTTTCCAGAAAGAGCAAGATCTGTTTGTGCAGAAGTTCTCGGGGCAGGTCTCTGAGAAGGGACTGGCTGCAGAAAGGAAGCATGTCCTGCACTGCCTGGTGCTGGCAGAGGGGGTCTAGAGCTGCTGCTGTTTGGAGAAGTAGGAGAGGAAGCGGTGGGCACCCCAGCACTGCATCACAGTTGGATGTTCTCAGCTGCTTGCCTCCACTCTTTCCATTAAGTTTGTGGAGACAGAGGATGAGTATGCTGCTGCCAGCTGTGGGAGTGAGATTCGGGAATGGGGCCCTGGAGGTGGGGCAAGGCAAGTACTTCCCATGGTGGAGCTGAATTGATTGTGCCACACTCCTGGTTCCCTTA